TTTAGGGTTTAGGGTCTTAGGGGTTTCAGGGGTTCTTGCAATTGGGCTACTGCTGCTTCGGGGTCTAGGCGGTTTGGTTTAGGGTTATGCTTTAGGGTTTCTGCAGGGGGTTAGGTTTTGTTCAGGGCTATGCTTGATGACTTGGGGCGTTACCCATTAGGTGCTTAGGGCTTTCGGGTGGGGGCGATGGCGGACGAGGTTCCCGCGCTTGACTTTGCTTGTGGGTTTTGGTTTGTAGGGTTTAGGGAGCCAGGAGTAGAACACGCATTTCCTCTAACCGCAGGTCCAGACCCGCAGCCAAAGCATGCAAGGCCCGTCTCTAGTGGCACCTATCGACCGGAGCCTCGTCAACCAAGATAGAGAGCGCTGAACAGTACTTTTCCGTTAACATCTCCACAGAGCCCTTATCAGATAGTTAGCAAAGCCTGACAAAATCCCTCACAAAGGCCTTATAGAGCCTTCATACAACTTTCCTGGAGCCCCAAAAAGAACTTTGACCCGACCCCAAACCCCGGAACTTTCATAGCGCCCCATGAAGCTGAGCCCGAAAGCCTCGAAGCTCGAGGGTGGCCGGAACGAAAGCCGAGGCCGCAGGGAGCTGGCGTCTTGCGACCGCCGTTTTCCACGACCTGGGGAGGCGAAGGGGCTCCGAAGTGGAGGGTTTTGGGTTTAGGGTTTAGGGAGGTCCTAATGATTAGGGAAAGGGTTCGATTACGTTTTTTTTTTAATGCCCTTTCCACTGCTTTCCTTTTCAGGCTTCCTTGACTGGCAGTTTAAGGTTCCATTAAAGGCTGCTTTGAGAGGCTGTGATTTGCTGTGCCATCCTGGGCTCAGGTAGCCGGGCTTGTGTAGGGCTGGAGTTTTTGGGTCGGGGTTCTTCGGACTTCCCAACAGCATAATGTAGGGTCCTAAATGATTAGGATACCAAACCCTATTCTAATTATTAAGGCCCCTATATTACGAGTTTTGGACAAGGGCCTAAACCCTCTAGATCCAAAGCTTTCGACCTATTCAGCCTCCTTTCCGAAGGCGGGGCCATAGGACCGACTGGTTGACCCCTGCAAAAGAGACCTAAATCCCGATTAATCCCCAAACTAAGACCCTACGACCCCGTACACCCTGAAACCCGAAACCGAAACCCAGCTTAGACAACCACGGTTTTCAGAGGGTTTTTGAGCCTCCAGCCTTCAATCGATCTATGTTATTCAACCCTGTATACACCCTAAACCCTGCCCGCCAAAACTCAAAGCTCTAAGATAGGCCAACGGAACTCGAAGACCCGAAAAGACGAGCAGTTCCAGAAGGCTCTAGGGTTTCAGGGAACTGGTTTACTCATAAACAGAGAGGTTTGAATAGTTAGCTTAGTAGATGGGTTGTACAAGGAGCACCTAGTAATACCACGATGCTACTGCTACACCCTAAACCCTCATCCAAGTTTCAAGGCACATACGACTTAGCTGGATTCGGGGTTTGGGGTTGATGGTTCAGGGTTTGAGGCATAGTTGAGGTTCTAAAGGTTGAGATTTGGGGTTTGAGGTTGCGCTGTTGAGGGGTTGAACGTAAGTATAGGAGGAGGAGGAGTAGGGAGCTGGGTGCAAGGTATGCAGGAAGCCCATTCCATCCTGGGCTTTGTCTGAAATCCCAAACCCTGAAATCTGATTTCAACTTAAGCTACCTAGACCGGACCTGAATCTTGAATCCCAAATCAAGTTGAATGAGCTCTCTGTAATGCTAGTTCCCGACGGAAGGCAGAGTTTGCAACCGACTACCATCACCTTCAACACCGCTGTGTTGCGATGCGAGGACCGAAGTATTCTAGGTCCCAAACCCTGAAGTTGGTGTCGGGGTTTTGGGACTTTGACAAGACGGGAAGCTGAATCCTAGCCCGAACCGTGAAGCCTGAAATCGGCACCCCACGCCGATAAGAAGTCAAGCAACCAGTTGAGACACGAGCGACCCAGTGTGACACACCACTTAGTATTAATTGCTGTATATATTATGTACGATGCTGTTCATACGTAGTATATACCCATGTATTTATGCATGCATGCATGC